ACTCTCTTCTGGCTTGTAGAATTTCTGCCAAGAGATCTGCTGTTAGTCTGATGGGCTTCCCTATGTGTGTAACCTGACCTTTCTCTCTGGCTGCCCTTAACATTTTTTCCTTCATTTCAACTTTGGTGAATCTGACAATTAGGTGTCTTGGAGTTGCTCTTCTCAAGGAGTATCTTTGTGGCGTTCTCTGTATTTAATGAATTTGAATGTTGGTCTGCCTTACTAGGTTGGGGAAGTTCTCCTGGATGATATCCTGCAGAGTGTTTTCCAACTTGGTTCCATTTTCCCCGTCACTTTCAGGCACAATCAGACGTAGATTTTGGTCGCTTTTCACATAATCCCTATTTTCTTGGAGACTTTGTATTTCTTTTTACTCTTTTTCTCTTCTCACTTTCATTTCATTCGGTTTGATCTTCAATCGCTTGATACTTTTCTTTTCCAGTTTGGATCGGGTCGGTTACTGATGCTTGTGCATTTCATGTTTATTCTCTGTTCAATGGTTTCATCTCTATCATTTCTTTTATGGCTTCTCTGCATTGTTATTCTTAGGTTATCCATTTATCCATTGTTTTTTCAAAGGTTTTAGTTCTTTTGCGCTGGGTTCATAGGTTCCTCCCTTTAGGCTTCTAAGAAGTTTTGATTAACTGAAGCCTTCTTCTCTCAACTCGTCAAAGTCATTCTCCATCCAGCTTTGTTCCATTGCTGGCGATGAGCTGCGTTCCTTTGGAGGGGGAGATGCGCTCTGATTTTTTGGATTTCCAGCTTTTCTGCAATGCTTTTTCCCCATCTTTTTGGTTTTATCTGCCTTTGGTCTTTGATGATGGTGATGTACTGATGGGATTTTGGTGTGGGTGTCCTTTCTGTTTGTTAGTTTTCCTTCTAACAGTCAGGACCCTCAGCTGTAGGTCTGTTGGAGTTTGCTGGAGGTCCACTCCAGACCCTGTTTGCCTGGATATCAGCAGCAGAGCCTGCAGAAGATAGAATATTGCTGAACAGCGAGTGTTGCTGTCTGATTCTCGCTCTGGAAGCTTCGTCTCAGGGGTGTACCCCACCGTGTGAGGTGTGAGGTGTGAGGTGTCAGTCTGCACCTAGTGAGGAATGTCTCCTAGTTAGGCTACTCAGGGGTCAGGGACCCACTTGAGCAGGCAGTCTGTCTGTTCTCAGATCTCAACCTCCGTGCTGGGTGATCCACTGCTCTCTTCAAAGCTGTCAGACAGGGGCATTTACCTCTGCCGAGGTTTCTGCTGCTTTCTGTTTAGCTATGCCCTGTCCCCAGAGGAGGAGTCTACAGAGACAGGTGGGCCTCCTTGAGCTGTGGTGGACTCCACCCAATTCAAGCTTCCTGGTGGCTTTGTTTACCTACCTAAGCCTCTGCAATGGTGGGTGCCCCTCCCGCAGCCTCGCTGCCACCTTTCAGTTAGATGTCAGACTGCTGTGCTAGCAATGAGGGAGGCTCCGTGGGCGTGGGACCCTCTGGGCCAGGTGTGGGATATAATCTCCTGGTGTGCCATTTGCTAAGACCCTTGGTGAAGCACAGTATCAGGGTGGGAGTTGCCTGATTTTCCAGGTGTTGTTTGTCTCAGTTTCCCTTGGCTAGGAAAAGGGATTCCCTTTCCCCTTGTGCTTCCCAGGTGAGGCGATGCCTTGCCCTGCTTCAGCTCTCGCTTGTCGGCCTGCACCAGCTGACCAGCACCGACTCTCCGACATGCCCCAGTGAGATGAACCTGGTACCTCAGTTGAAAATGCAGAAATCACCCGTCTGCTGTGTCGCTCACGCTGGGAGCTGGAGGCTGGAGCTGTTCCTATTTGGCCATCTTGGGCACGCCCCCTGAGTCTTCTCATTTTTAAAATAAATATTCCTGGAGGCATTCTTGTGAGAAATAGAAGATGTATATATAAGACCTGACACACAGTAGGGACTCTGAACATGGTGGATAGTGTTATTTTTCATAGCAGAATAGCTAACTAATCACTCTTCAGAAATTCTTTCTTTTATTCTAGAAATCAGTCTGAGTCTGTGGTTCTCAATCAGGGACACTTCTTCCTCCCCCTCCACCCCACCCTACCAGGACATTTAGTAATATCTGGAAGAGGTTTTTAGTTGTCACATCTGGAGTGGATGCTACTGGCATGTAGTGAGTAGAGGCCAGGGATGATGGGAAACATCCCCAATACACAGGACAGTGTCCATCACAGAGAATGATCTGGCCTATATGTGTGTTTCATGATACTGTCAACTCCCTCTCTCTGTCTCTGTCCACATATGTTTTGTTTTATCCTCTCTTCTTTCTTTATATCCTTTTGATCTGAGAATATTATGTTACGTAACATGGTGTTTATTTGCATAAGACCCCCCTACAAGAGAAAGCAAATTGGAGTGTGTTGGTATGGCACCATGTTGTGAGATTGCCAGGCAGTCAACAGGAACAATTAAGTGCTTTTCAAGGGGAACCCTCATTTAACCTATATTCTTGTTTCTCAGTATAAGTGTTATATCCTAGAGGAATGTGTTGTATCCTAGAGGAAGAGCAAGGGATGTAAAGAGAGCACTGAATTAAGAATGGGAAGACTGTGGCTTTCCCACTTGGTACCTATATAGCTATGTGGCTAGTTTCTTCATATTTTTAAATAGACTTTTTATTTTGGAATAACTGTAGATTTATAGGAAATCCATAGATAATACAGACAGTTCTGTATACCCTTAACCCAGTTTGCCCAAATGTTAATATCTTATGTAACCTTGGTACAGTTGTCATAACTAAGAAATTAACATTGATGCATTACTCATAACTAAACTCTAGACTTTATTCAGATTTTACCAGCTTTCCACTAATGTTCTTTTCCTATTCCAGGACCCAATCCAGGATCCCACAATGCATTTAGTGTTCCTTCACTTTTAAAATGGAAATATTTTAACAACTTGAGGGTTGTTATGAGTTGTCAAAAAGACCATCTCAAAGTAATTCTAAGTACATAAGAAAATATAACATGATGATATGTTTCTTTACAGTCATACAACAAATGGCACAATATCTGTGCACACTTAGATCAGCAGTATTTGATTTGCATTTGAACATGTAAATATTTGTTCCTTCAAAAGATATGTTTGAGCATCGAGTGTGTTTGGGATGCTATGCAAGATGCCAAGGATATTATGAATATCTTCAACTCCCTAAGGTGTGCTTCTCTCAAAAAGGTTATAGACTATTGGGGAATAAAGCACATTAATCCTAATTAACATTCAGTGTGTGAAGTCTCTGACTGGAGTAACCATGAGAGGTTACTGACAATGCCAGGGTGCCCCAGCACAAACTTGAGAGGCTTTCCAAGGTAGATTATGAGCAGGGGAGGTGAGGACACAGTGTTCTATGCAGAAGGAACAGCATGTGCAAAAGCCCAGAGACAAGGAGAATATATTTATGGAACAGAAAATTGATCAGTGTGGTTAAAGTGTGTCTTAAGTTGGGAGGATAGGTGATCCAGGAAACTGGAGGCAGGAACAGATTGCAAAACCCTCCTGGGCCACACCAGGGAGTTTCTTTGTATACCAATGATTGGTGAAGGAGAGATTGAAGAGTTTAAATAAAACAGGCAGGATGAAAATTTCCATGAAATAAAGCTCTCTTGCACTATGATGTGGTGAGTGGATTACAAGGAAGGAAGACTGGCTGCTGGGCACAGTATCAAAAGATTATTGGAAGAGTTGTCCATATAAGTAAACAATGGCCTGAATAAGAGTCGTGTCCCATACAAATATTATAATGAATTTAATTATTTAGTAAAGTAAGCTATTAATCTCTTTCCTGAACTAATTTGTGTTCACTGAAGCAAAAGCCTTGAATTTGGGCAGAGTAGGTAGTGGTTTATTTGGGAAACACATCTGAGGCACGGGCAGAATTTGCTCACCAAGATTACATGATTCTGCTCCACACATGAGTGGGTGAGGGTGTGAGCCAAGGCAGGCAGGATGTTTGAGGCAGTATCTCACCATCACAAGTCTGGTCTTTCCAATGGCTCTGACATTCTGATATATCTCACTGGAAAGAGGCCGAGCAGAACTTGGCCTTCATTGTAAATGATGGGCGCCATTAAGGAATTTCTTCCTGCTCTGCCCATTAGTATCCTATCATTTTTAATCCATATTCTACCTTCCACCTTTAAAAATTGAAATATTTTAAGCAAAACTGTCTTTATACTCTTCTTGTCTTAGTTCATAGTTTATCTCTGATAGTTGCTGGCATGATCATTCCTAAGGACTTTTTTTACAAGTCAAAATTTAAACTACACATGTAATCCAATAGATCTTATGGCCTCTGAGAATGTCCAATCCCTGCTCAGCACTTGAGGGTTTTCTCTGCCCTCCCTTTAAAGCTTTTCTTTTCATTTTTATTGTTTTTGTTTGTTTGTTTGGTTGTTTGTTTGTTTGAGATGGTGTCTCGCTCTGTTGCCCAGGCTGGAGCACAGTGGCACGATCTTGGCTCACTGCAACCTCTGCCTCCTGGGTTCAAGTGATACTCATGCCTCAGCCTCCCGAGTAGCTGAAATTACAGGTGTCCACCACCACACCCAGCTAATTTTTATATTTTTAGTAGAGATGGGGTTTTACCATATTGGTCAAGCTGGTCTTAAACTCCTGACCTCAGGTGATCCACCTGCCTTGGCCTCTCAAAGTGCAGGGATTACAGGCATGAGCCACCAGCCCAGCCTAAGCTTTTCTTTGATATGTACAGAAATAGATTTCTAAAACAAGAGCCAGCAAACTATAGCCCAACGGCCAAATCTGGCTGCCTGATTTTGTAAATAAAGTTTTATTAGCATATAGCCACACCCATTCATTTACCTATTGTCTGTGACTCCCTAAGGTGTGCTTTATTGTCTGTGACAATAGGTAAATGTCATTTACTATAGCAGAAGAGTTGAATAGTCACAAAAGAGACCACGTGGCCTGGCCTACATAGCCAAAAATATTTACTGTCAGGCCCTTTGCAGAAAAAGTATGCTGGTCCCTGACCTAAAAAGAAAGGATTTTAGAGGTGCTGGTGTTGTGTTTGTATCCAAGAGGCAACTGGAAATCCTTTGACCTACCCACATGTGACAACACACACTGTCCCATACTCACTGGGTCAGTTTCTTGCCCAGCATCGTGTATTGCCAGAGTTGAATTTACCAAACCTTTTCCTGTGATTGTCTGAGAGCTGCATACTGGGCAGAAGGAAGCTGCCAACTGCAACAGTGGCTGTCGAGTTTGGACACCATGGCATTTGCATCAGGTTGTAACTCATTTCCTGCCTTTAAATGCCTTGTACCCAATGCAGTGTTGAATGACAGGCAGTACTCCAAACCAATATTGAATTGTCAAAGAAGTAACAACTATGACAAAATGTCCAGGTGTGACTCTGCCAAGATTTTTTAATACTTAAATCTTTAAGATACAAATGTGAGTAATGAAATAGAGAAGGCCTTGTTATTTATAAATAATTTCATGAGTAGAAAACCCAGGCATTACTATCACAGTTTTTCCTAATTTTGTGGCCTGAAAATTGTATTCTCATCCTAAATTCCTAAGAGTAATGCTTTAATTTTTAATAATCTCAGAATAATACAAACCTCTAGAGTATTCTATATGTTAAAACCTAAGATCTTGATTTGTTTGGCTTCTGGTCTGAAGTCTGTTGAGCATGAATGCATCTTACGCTGGATAGAACACTGCAGTGGTTGAAAATGGAGTCTTCATTCATTCCTCCTTTTTAGGATGCCATCCAGCCGGTATGTACCTGTGCTGCTTGTGTACACCTGGAATCCATGAAGCTAGCTCACACTATGTGTTCTGGCTAAGCCTTGTCCATGCTGTTGTTGAATAGTTGGCATACCACCACTGGATCCCTATATTAGAACTGGTAGACTGAAAGCTTATGAAGGCAGGCACATATTCTTATTCACTCTTATTGTGTACTATACTTTACACAGAGTTTCTGCTCTCTATTGTCTTTTGAATATTATGAAAACTTTGCAAACAAATGTCTTTGAAAGTTGCTTATAACGTTTAAATTACTATTAAAATATAAGATACCACTTTGTGATAGGAGGCATGTCTCAGGGAGGGCTGACTTGTTCCTGTCTTTTAAATCTGATTTTGAAAATATGCTATTGGTTATAATAAAATAAACAATCCTCTTCCTCTTCCTTTTTCTGTTTTGTGAACTTGTTTTCAGGCCAACCATTTAAACTGGATCCCAAATCTGCTCATCGAAAACTGAAGGTGTCCCATGACAACTTGACAGTAGAACGTGATGAATCATCATCCAAGAAGAGTCACACGCCTGAACGCTTCACCAGCCAGGGGAGCTATGGAGTAGCTGGAAATGTGTTTATTGATAGTGGCCGGCATTATTGGGAAGTGGTCATAAGTGGAAGCACATGGTAGGCAACTTATATTCATTGTCCTGCAGTTATAAAAAGGCACATCTCATTCTGTACTTAGAGAGTCAACCCATACTGAAATGCATCTTAAAGAATAAAGTGCAGAAAAGTTGTATTAGTCAGCTATTGCTAGGTAATGCTGCATAACAAACACCCCCAAACTCAGCAAATTCAAACAATGACCATATATTACTAATACCCACATCTGTGGGTTCTCTGTTCAAGATTATAGAGCTCTGGTCATTGGAAGAGCTATACCATGCTAACACTGCTCTTTTATGCCATAAAACATGGGTCAGCAAACCACAGCCCATGAGCCAAACCTGGCCTGCTACCTGGTTTTGTAAATAAAGTTTTATGGGAATACAGCCAGGTCCATTTTTTTACGTGTAGTCTATGGCTGCCTTTCAGCCACAACAGCAGAATCGAGTAGTTAAGAGAGAATCATATGGTCTTTGAAGCCAAAAATATTTACTTCCTGGTCCTTTCAAGAAAAAGTTTGCAATTCCCTACTTTAAAACATCACTCTTCATCATTATACAAAACTAATTTCTGTTGCCTTGTATGTTTTATGATTCTAGACTGGACCAATTAGTGCAAATAGCTGAGGGCTGAATGGTGGGGGTGAAGCAGTGATCATAGGCTGGGAATAATTTCAAAAGGCCTGTTAGATCCAGCCCAGTAACTTTAGCCCACTGAGTTCTCTAAGAATAAGGGCAAAGGTCAGGACACAATTACACTGGAATTAGTTAACCTCACAAAGTTAACCTTGCCTAATCCACAGCCACAAACTGCACCCCTTACTTTGACCGTCTGTCTCACAAATGCCTGCTTGCTATTGATCAAAAAGGGAGCTATTTTATTTTTATTTAATAAGCCCCCATATGGTACAAGTATGTGCCAGGCACTGGTCTAAGCATTTTACAGATGTCAACTCATTTATTCAGGCTTACAGCCCTACAAAGGTAGGTGCTAATATTATCCACTTTACTGATGAGGTGACTGAGGTATATGCTGAAGATCACAGGGTTACAAAGCTCACAGGTGGCAGAGTCAGCAAGTCTGCAGTCAAGGGTCAGGCTCTTAACCAGCAGTCCACAAACATTATCTGTAAAGGGCCAGAGATTCAATATTTCTGGTTTTGCACACCAAATGATTTTTGTCACTAATACTCAACTCTTCTGTTGTAGTGGGAAAGCAGCCACAGACAACACCTACACAAATGGACATGGCTGCATTCCAATAAAACTTCATTTATAAAAACAGGCAGAGGGCCAGAGTTGGCCCCTGGGTAGTAGTTTGCTGTTCCCTGCTCTTAACCACCATGCTATGCTGCTATTCACAAAAGGGTGGTATATTTTTGAAATGCTATAATTACTCTCTAGGGCTTACAATAGTGTACTTAATGAGTGATAGCTAAATCCTTGCTTTAAAAAATAAAATCAACATTCAAAATTGCGTAGCCTGAAGATGGTGAGTATAACAGTGTTTCAATATAAGCATGATAAAACACTTCTTATTTATATATTTAAAAAACGTTCAATTCAAACCTATGCAAATAATGTGACATGTCTGAATCCCTTATATTGTAGGTAGAAATTAGCCAAAAATCTAAGAAGTGAATTGTAAGCTTCCCATCTCTCCCAATAATGGTACATACTATATTGGCTGAGCGAGTAGGTTTTCCTTTGTTGTTATCCTCATAATTCTCTTTGCCTAGAAGATTTTTCTGTTCCAACATCCTGCCAGAGGATGGAGGACAAATCCTTCATCCCACTAGGCTCTGGGCTAGATAAGCATTTGCCATTTTTAGCTGTGATGGGGCAAAATTAAAGCACAAAGGAAAACAATGAATGCAGGTACAAAAAAGCAAATGTTTCTAGCTAATTAATATGCTGTATTAATCTGGGATAGAATCCAGGGTCTAAATGATTATTACTCTATTAATAATTATTTATGATAAATGAAACCTGATCATTATGATCTCATTGCCATTGATGAATAGTTTGCAAAATTCCATCAGACCACTTCAGTTATATAAACACAGATCAGCATTACCTTGAAAACACCCTCCAGATGTCAAAACTAACTCATAAGGGGGAAAAGAAATTCTAAAATTAATTGCTACACAATTAATCTTTACAAACCTAACTGTGTCAATTTCAGAAAAATCTTCATATAGAAAGTCACTTTACATTTCCTGGGGGGTATTAGCAAGGAAGGGGTGCCCCCTACAATTAAATGCCTGTGACATCTTGATTTGCAACAGCTAATGACATATATTTGCTTGTCAAATATAGTCCTGACTTTAAATTAATGTGTACATTATGATCTGTGCAATGGGGCATGTTAACATTGCCCTGAGAGACATAATTTTTATACTTTGAATTCTCCGTGTCTCACTGCGTAACTTAATGGAACATTACATTCTGCCTACACCTTTCAAGCTCAATGGAAATATGTACCTAGTTTCACAGATTAATGATACTATAATGGTATTTTCCTTTGCTTAATGGACTATACACTTAGTTATTTTCTTACTCTCTGATGCTAATGTGCACTTGGTGTTTTATGAAATGGTGTTAACTAAACGAGTAATAACGGGTTCATGCAAAGATTATTAGACCAGAAGGGGTGGGGGCAGCATACAACTCTGGATTTTGCTCCCAATTTTAATCTTCTGTTTCTATTTGCTACATGTAGTCAGCCATACCTGCCACAGCTATTTCATAGGGTTCAGTTAAGGTTCAAATGGGAAATAAACATCAAAGTAATAAAAAATAAAAATGCTGTGCCACAACAAGAAGGAAACAATACAGATGTGGTGATTTTGTGATGCAAATGCAGGTTCCAAATTGTCTGAAAGATGAAAATGGTATTTACTGGGGTATACAGAACATTTTAGGGAGTGGGAGATACTGACAATTGCAAAATGAAAACCTTTCCAAAGTGTATGTATTAGTCCATTTTCATGCTGCTGATAAAGATATAACCAAGACGGGGCAGTTTACAAAAGAGATTTATAATGGACTTAACAGTTCCATGTGGCTGGGAAAGCCCACAATCATGGCAGAAGGCAAGGAGGAACAAGCCACGTCTTACATGGATGGCAGCAGGCAAAAAGAGAACTTGTGCAGGGAAACTCCCCCTTTTTAAAACCATCAGATCTCATGAGACTTATTCACTATCACAAGAACACTGAAAGGACCTGCCCCCATGATTCAGTTTCCTCCCACCGGGTCCCTCCCACAACATGTGGGAATTCAAGATGAGATTTGAGTGGGGACACAGCCAAACCATATCAGTGTATCAAATAAACAGATGACATTTGAGACCCTTGATGCACTCCCCAGAGGAAGGGACCCAGAAGCTTACAGGACCCTGGAAGGGCTGGGGCACAAAGTCCGGGAGTCTGCTGCTCTAGTTCGTGGAGTCATGATGAGCTGTAGCTGCTGCAAAATTGCCCACAGCACAAGGCAGGTGTACTCAGGTGCTCATCTAGAAGCTTCCACCAACTGCACATCTACTGTCTGCCATCAGGAAAGAGTGTTTCCCCTCCTCTAAGCACTTCTGGATCTTGTGCAAAGGCATCACAATAGCAGAGCCTGACTCAGACTCCTACAGGAAAGGGGATTCTGGGAAATGCAACTTGGATTCTCCTCATAAGCAGGAGAGGATGGATGGGAGGGAAGAGAGGATGCAACACTGATGACAGACAGGCCTGCACACTGGGCTTGGCAGATTATCAATTCCATCCTCCTTTTGGATTTAATGATGGCATGGTGTATTAATTTTCTTTTTGAACACACCACTCTTAAAGTGATTGTATTTTAAGTCCAGTGTGATTTTTTTAAAGAATGTCATTTTATTAAAGATCCATGAAATTTTTCTCTCTGCATTGAGTAAGGTACCATGTGTTAATATCCAGTTAGGCTGGTTTCTGCTATAACATATTAAAAGTTCACCTGTGAGTCATTTACTGTTTATTAAGAGTGATGGGTTTTGTTTATCTTAATAACTGAAATACTATGAATATTACAGAGGCATGCTTCAGAGGGGTAAAAAGAGACTAAGAAGCTTAGAACATTGTAGAAAGCGTTCTTTGGATTTTTTTTTTGTTTTTTTTTTTGTTTTTTTTTTTTTGTGAGCAGCAAGAGAACATTTAGAATAACCAGAAGATCGTCTGCTCAAACACATTCAGAATTTTTTTTCAGTGTAGTAGGAAATATAATCAGAAAGGCTCTTGGCAGTGATGGACTGCACAATTTCTGGTTATGGATGGCATTGTAGAATGTAGTTTGTGTTTGTGGGTTTTGAGTCATCCTAAGTTCAAATTCTGATTCTGGTACTTATTGTTAATATGTGCCATCAGGCAATAATAATAAAATAGCAGTTACTAAATATTGCATGCCAAGTCCTGTGCCTAGGACTTAACACGTATTCTCTCCTTTACTCCTTAAAATAACACTGCAAGATGGAGACTATCATTGTCCCTGTGGTATACATGAGAAAACTTGGGCTGAGTAATGACAAAGGACTTATCCCCACAAATGGAAATCATCTTCTGTGCTTGCCCTTGGCAAAATGCTTTCAGAATCAGAAAATGACAGACATAGTGTTAAATTAAAAATTATAAGAAGGTCATAAGGAGAAGTCTAGGGTTGTGCTGTCCAATATGGTAGCTATGAGCCACATGCAGCTATTTAAATCATTTAACTTAATGAAAATTAAATAAATTTAAAGTTCAGTTCCTCAGTCTCACCAGCCGCAGCTAAAGTGCCCGGTAGCCATATGTAGCTTGTGGTTACCACATCGAGGAGAGCAGGACATTTCAATCATTGAAGAAAGTTCTTTTGGTCAGCACTGGTCTAGCGAATTCATTGTGTAGATTTTTATAAAAGTGAAAAAAAGCAGCAAAATACAAAGTTCAAATTCTCTGTAGTGTTTCAGCTGAAAACAGAAATGTGAGTAAATACGATGCTTCTTTCCCTGTTTGTGAGGGAAGGAGATGAGGAACACAGATGTTGGGGTTCTTGCCAAGCTTTTACTTAAAGAAAATGAACAGGGACAACAAATGATCATGTTTTTATAACCCCTGAGGACCACAGAACGGATTTAATGTGCATATGCAACATGGCTCATTGTTTTTGTTGTTGCTGTTTTGTTTCTGCAGGTATGCTATTGGTCTTGCTTATAAATCAGCCCCGAAGCATGAATGGATTGGGAAGAACTCTGCTTCCTGGGCGCTCTGCCGCTGCAACAATAACTGGGTGGTGAGACACAATAGCAAGGAAATCCCCATTGAGCCTGCTCCCCACCTCCGGCGCGTGGGCATCCTGCTGGACTATGATAACGGCTCTATCGCCTTTTATGATGCTTTGAACTCCATCCACCTCTACACCTTCGACGTCGCATTTGCGCAGCCTGTGTGCCCCACCTTCACCGTGTGGAACAAGTGTCTGACGATTATCACTGGGCTTCCTATCCCAGACCATTTGGACTGCACAGAGCAACTGCCGTGAGCGTCTGGCCACATGGAGCAGCTTTCTGGGGAACAAAAAGGTTCAGGCCACTATTTAGGAGACTGAGAAAGCACAGGCTTCATGAGTGTAATGAAATCTCACCAAAAGTGTCCAGAAATCGGCTCAGATAGGGCTCAAAACAGGAGATTCCTCTCCTTTTACTGTGTCTTGTATTAAGTACGGGCTTTAATAATTTCTTTAATTTTTTTTTTGTATTTAGAGGAAAATCTATAGATTATTTATAAGAGAAACATAATCGGGATTACAACTTTTAGGAATTACTTGGTTTTGCACATTAAGAGGCCCATAAGTTTATCAGCTATTTACAACCTGTATTTCATCACAATCTATGGGCTTGCAAAAAAACAAAAAAAAAAAAAAAAACTTTTGTAATTTTGTATGTTTATTCATCTTCTCACCTAACATCTCATAATGATCCCATGATAAGTCTTCTCACCTCGATGGTGCATAACAGGAAGTGTCTGAACCTAGTAGGGGAGTAAACAGGCTTTCTTACTCTGGTTTAATATGAAGTGTTTTAATTGTGGTGTCAAAAACTTGTATCAGATCAACTAAAATGGAGAGCAAGACAGAGAATGAAAAGAATTGATTTTGGACCTTGGACCTTGCCGCGGCTAAATCTTTACCCTCTGATAGCTGATGAGATAATGTTGGAAAGAAAGGTTCTGAATCCTTTGGCCGCATTTTGCCCTGCTTCTCTCAGGGTTAAGGGTTCTGGAAGAACATTAAGAATGAGATTGCAATTGAAAATAGTCATTTTGAATCCTATTGATTATTCAAAACTTCAGGCTGATTTGTCTTTTTCGGAGGTAGGATTCTGTTTTATGGTATAAAATCTACTTTATCCTTCCTTTTAATAGTTTCTTTAGACCTGTGACATCTCTTCACTACGTTTAATAGTTATCCTATTTCCCCCTCCCCCATATCAATTTTCCTTTTGTCTCTGGGGCTGAGTAAATAAACATGTTCTGTCACAAATAGCAGCACCACTTTGGATTGATTTTGCTCTCCAGGACATCAGCACATGGCCCTGATCACCACTACCACATCCAAACATAAGTCACTGAAAAACACTTAATATTTATGAGTTGGTAATGACAAGAGACATTGCATAAAGTACTATTTACTAGATACATGCCTCAAAAGTTATTATAAACAGACCTTTATTAAACACATCTTGAAATATGTAGAAGTCCCTCTATAGTCTAGTATAGTTTACAATAGAGTTGTAAGACCAAAAAAAAAAAAAAAATTCAAACTCGTTATTCAGGAACCTGCTTATAAAATGTCAGCTGGCATTCTTTGCATGCCAATCTGATGCGTTGGAATGGTCCATGAATTAAGGCTTTCTTGAGCAGTTCTTGGACCAGAACTCTGGCATTGGTTCTACTTTGATGAAGGGCGTGACCTCTATAAATGGTTTAAATTGCTAAAATATTTACCTGGGATACTGGGTCAGCCATTTTTACTGAACAGACTAGTGGATTTAGACATTGTTTTTAGTTATTTTGTTTTTAACCAAATCAACCAACTGTCTCCCTGAAATAAATCAATGAGGTCCTTCCATCCTCTTCCCTAGCAGACACTCTCCTTTTTCTTAACAGATAGATTCTATATATTTACTATATTATTTATACCCAGATGAATATTTTGATAGATACCTAAGACAATTTCACATCTAAAAGATGGACACCTCAATGGAAAAAAAAATCTTTCTCTGGAAATCTTATGGGTTTTTCTTTTTATTACAATATAAAAGCAATGTGTGTTTGCCTTCTCTGAATAAACTGAAAGGGTTGTCTCAGTAATTTTTACATACATTTTGGGTAACTGGATAATGGATATTTTAATGCACTTTGTACACTAACAGGTTCTAAATAAAAGGGTCTAAAACTCAGCTTCTGAGTTTTTAAAATCATGGTCTCCAGGTACCAATAAATGCTACAGTTTGCCTTATGATGTTAACATAAAACAGTTAGTAGAAGGACAATATTTCCATGAAAATAATGTTTTTCAATATTAAGAAGTTACTACTCAAATTTTTACAGTAAGCCATTTAGGGTATGTTTTGGCTATTTTTATAAGGACATGAGAGATTATGTCATAATTTTGTTGTGGAAGTCTCACTCTTGGCTAACTTAAAAGCATTGTGGATAGTAGCAGTTACTAGTTCCAGGTTGTTGTATTTACAGGAAAATATGTATATGGTGAAAGGCCACCATGTTTAATTACTATAATGATGTAGAAAAGATTCCCATGTGATTTTTTTTTGAAAGTCTAAAATATGTATGCTGTAAAAATTTGCTGCAGTGTAATTTTGCATTCTCTTTAAACTAATTGAGGTCACAGTATTTTATTATTTGAGGTCCTCACCACAGGAAACACTGCGATACAGGGGCAAAAGAGATGGCAGTGCCAATTAAATTAATACAACAAAATCAATGCAGCACCAACCAAGACTGCCAGGTCTGGTGTCATGGGGATGCCCAGAGCCCAGGAGTTCAGAAGGGCCCTAAGCTTGATTTAATGCTCTGCTGTTGCTGTCTTGAAATTCTTAATGATTTTTGAACAAGGGGCCTGCATTTTCACTTTGCACTGGGCCTTGCAAATTATGTAGCGAGTGCTCATAAAAGAACTCAGAAATGTGGTACCTCTCTTCCTGGTGGATACAAATAAAGAAATCTGGATCCAAAGTTGAAAGTTGCTGGCAATATCATTCAAGTAGGACTCTAAATAGTGGATTAAGATGAGGGTGGATTCTTTCCAGCTTTAAACAAAAGTGACTTCAAAAATTGACTGCAGATATTGACGATGGTTTCTGCTGGAGGAAAAGAAACAGCTTGAATACAGACAGGCTTTTTTATTACGGTACTGATATATTGACCTTAAACTTGCTGAGGAACTGAACTAATGTCCTCCAGTGACCGTGGAATTCCATCTCAGCTCCAGGAACATGCAGATACCTGCAAAGAGACACGCATATATGCTGGCATACATGTGCATTTGGTGTTGGGAAGTTGACCATCTGGTCTACCTTAATAAAATGGTAAAAAGCACACAAAGACAATGATGGGGGCAGGAGGATGTTTTTGAAAACAGCGCTTCTCAACCAGGGCTCGATTTTGCCCCCCAGGAGACATTTGGCAATGCAATGGCAACTTTTGGTTGTCGCCGCCGGGGAAGGGAAGCTACCAGCATCTAGTGCGTAGAGGTCATGGACGCCATTAAACATCCTACAGTGCAAGTGCAGCCTCCGACCACAAAGAGTTGTCTTGCTCAAATATCAACAGTGCTGCAGTGTAGAAACTTGATAGGTGGTTTTCTGTTAATGCAAAACTCTCATAAAAACCTTTCACTTTTCCTGTTATTGACTATATGCTTGATACATCCAAAAAGAAAAGGGGAGGGGTGCCAATTCACCTACACTGTGGTGGCTCCTTCACCTTTAAAAATATTTATAAAATAGTTACAAAAATCTGATATCTGAAAAGCAATCCAAGCCTGTGTAAATGGGAATCACTGATAAGTATCATCATCTGTATGAGCTTGGCTTAGACATGAAAAATTGATTTTCTTTATATCACTCCTTGCACCTGGACAAATTCAATCCCTGGTACTTAAGTCACACTGCCAAGCCCTCGGCCCTGACTATTGTCTTGATTGCTGTTGCTTTCTGGTTCAAAATAAAATCATTTTTGTGGCACCAAGACCCTCTGTCTCTGCCTGTCTCTGTTGTCTTTTCATCATTTTGTGTTTTTGCAGTTATGATGTTGACAAATATTTATTCAACATCTACCATTTTTTCATACTATTTTATGACATATAATTCATTTTCTTTTACTGTCTCTCATCCACCATTTGCCTTTCCCTATTAAAAATACAATTCTTTTACAACACTCAAAATATTCTCCAGGGAATTTTTAAAACACAATAAAGCCTATATAGAAGTGGAAACCAACCAGGTTTGCTTGATTTCAAGTCTTATAGATGGGATGAGGAAGAGAAGAGCAATGATTATTTGAACAGAGGACTGGGAGTCTTTACAGTGTGATCTAGGAGAATCCTAGCAGTTGGTCCATACATAGATCCCCAACCCCATCCCATGGACCTGATGGACCTGACTTTCTCTCACTAGAGATGCAAGCCTTTGGTCTTCGTCAGTGCTATGCAAAGTGTGGTCCAGGAATCTGCAGCTGCTGCAGTGCTATGCAAAGTGTGGTCCAGGAATCTGCAGCATCTGCATCACCTGCGAGCTTAGAAATGCCAGTTCTCCTGCCTTCCCCGAGACCTGCTGATCAGAATATTTGGGGTGGGACTAGCAGTCATCCCAGGGGATTTTGATACTAGTGAAAGTGTGTGAAGCACTGCCCTGGGGAGCTACTTCCAGTCTCATAGCCCATATAGAAAGGGACTTACCACCTGAGATATGTTTTCAAGGCAATGTGCTTTAGAGAGAGCAGGATGTAATGCAGTGATTCTTAATGTGACTGAGCATTAAAACCGCCTCTTCTGCAAATGAGGATTCCTGGATCACATCCTGAAAGATTAGGGATGAGAAGGTCAAGAGCATGGCTCAGCAGCCTGTACTTTTCCTTTCTTTCCTTTTTTTTTTTTTTTTTTTTAAGCAATTCTGAAATGCAACCAGGATTGGCAGCCAATGCAAGTCACAGGGCTCAGCATTTTTTTCTATAAAGAGTCAGATAGTGAATACTTAAAGTTTGCAGCCCATACTATCTCTATGGCAACTACTGAACTACTACTCAACTCTGTGGCTATAGAGAAAAAGCAGCCATAAAGGAAATGTCAATGAAGGGATGTGGTTGTGTTCCAATAAAGATTTATTTACAAAAACAGGCATTGAGCTGGATTTGGCCTGTGGACTGTAGTTTGCCGATCCCGACTGTAGTGGACACAGTACTGAACTGGCAGCTCAAAGCCCTCAGGGCATTCTCTATCCCCTTACACACTGAGGGCCCAGCCGTGTGCCTTCTTGTCTGGGCCTCTGTAAGCTCTTAAAGGTCCTTTCAACAATGACTTACCATCAATTCTGTGAAATCACAGAACTCCTGGAAAAGTAGTAATGCAGTGCTTAAGACAGGGCCACTCAAGGGGTATTAGAAGATTGGTTTGTTCAACAGACCAGGGTGGGAGTGCCAGCATTCTAATGATTAGCTTTACCTCCTTCCTAATTTTGACTCAAATCAGCCTTTCTCACAAGTGACAGGTGTATAAAATATATTCCCTTTGATAAGAGTTTTGAAGGATATTTAATTTGAACTTTTGAAACTGAACAGACACTACCATAATTAATTACCTTTCAAAGTCAACTTGAAGGGCATGTCATACACTCCACAGGGTAGCCCACATCTTGCCTTTAAAAAAAAAAAATACACAAGTGAAATACATTGAAGAAGGTAGTTGCTCACAATTATAATAGGAAGACAAAAAGGGAGACGTGGGACTAACAAAATCCCTTTTCCTGAGTACCATGCTCACTATGGAATGCACATTCAAAAATGTAAAATAAAAATGGGGTTAAGGACTTATAGAACAACCTTTCTTGTAATTGTTCTTAGTAATGGGCAATTTATGGAAAGGAATTAGGGCCTCTCTTTGGGTCTTTTTCAGCCATGTTCTCCTAAGAGAATCATTAAAGCATGATTAAATAGGAAGCAGAGCAATTAACGAACAAATATGTCATGGCCGAAAACCAATTACCAATTAAGGAGTAGCACAGAAAAAATGATTTAATGAACACTGGTTCTTTTGCACAGTCTATTTATTCTCAAAGCTCAATTTTTATTATGGTCATTAAAATCTGTTCATTTTCACTAAAGCATTTCAAATAATAATACTTATCTTACCCCTTCACCAATCTTATTTTCACTCCAACTGCTGCCCTCCCTTACCTCCTCTTCTCTGTCAAGCTTCTCAAAGGGCTGTTCAGACCCACTGCTTCTGATTCTCACCCATTGTTGTGAAGAATCAACTCCCCCACACTCTATTGGGAGTTCTGCGTCTTCACTCTACCAAAATAGTGCTCACTGAAATAAAAAATGGCATCTACATCAATACGTATTCTGATAGATGTTTTGTTGGCCTCATCTTGACACACAGCAGTTTTTGAGGTGTTGACCATTTCGGTTTTTTTTAAATCTTTCCTTAGACAATGCCATTCATGCCATCACTCAATCACCATTTTGTGCAGAAGCCTCCAAATTCAAATCTCTAGGTCTGGTTTCTCCACTGAGTTCAGCCCTACACATTGACCTATTTTTTGCAGTAATCATTTTTGGGTGCCTAAAGGCCATCTCAAGTTCAACATATCCAAAACTGCATTCATGATCTCTTCTTATAACCTTGTCCTGGCCAATCACATTCATGAACCAAAAACCAAAGGTTCAGGTTTGATGTCTCCCTCACCCTCCATGTCCAGTTCATCACCAAGTCCTGTTGATTTTATTTCTTAAATATCTATTTAACTGGCCAACTTCTCTCTACTTCTGCACTCAACCTCCAAGTATGAGCTTTCATATGTCACACATCTACAGATTAAATAGATGAAATAACCTGCTAACTGGTCTACCTGTAATCTACACTACATATTCTTCTTTAATTCCTCTCCTAGAGCAGCCAAGGTAATCTCCAAATCACATCACATCTGCACACTTCGGAACACTCTTTCCATCATTTTCATCCCACTCCCTACCCCCATAACTGACTAAAAGTCCTTCCAAGTTTCTGACCTACCTTCCATGAAACTCTTCCATGGTGCTGATAAGCCCCTCCATGGTCTTGTGCTTGCATATCTCCTCAGCATCATCTTGGACCATTCTCCTCTTTTCCCCTGCACTCTGGCCACACTGGCTGTTGTAGCCATGCTCTGGTCGGCCACAAAACTCCACTTGGACCACTCATCCCTCACCTTCCTAACTAGGGCCAATATTTCAGATGACCTCTCAACCACCATTTCCTGATCTCCCTGCCTAAGCCAAATTCCCCTAATACTGATCCAAAAAGCAACCTGTGCCTCCCTTCATAGCTTTGTCACTGTTGCAACCTAGCATTTGTATAAATTTTGTTTACCATTTCTGTTTATTTCCCCCATTAGACTGTAATATCCCTGAAATTTAAGACCAGGACAGGCTTAGCCCAATATTTGCCATATAGTAGGTGGTCTATAAAAATTTAGAGTGAAATTCTAATTTCTCATGAATGAGTTTTATGTGTAATCTTCTCTTAAGCCCACAGCATCCACCATTCTCTTTTTAAAAGACTTGTGTTTATAAAAAGTGCTTCATATTTGCAGCAATCTTATATTTTACAAAATAACAAATAATATTAAAATAAAAGCTAGAACATCTACCTTCTAGCAAATTCTATCCTCTCTTTATAGTGGCTGCAGGTCATCTGATAAAGATAAAACCTTGAATTTGGTCAAGTAGGCCTGCCCATTCGTGTATTTTATCATCTTCTACTTGGCTTCTGTCAGTAAATTCTAAGTTGGAAATCACACTTACATAATTCCTACTTGCTGGCTCAGCTCACCCTACAAGGTATCACTATCTGCTTTTGTCTTGGAGAAGTTTCCCTCTGACCTTGGTGCCCTACCTCCTTGGTAGCTCCACCCAGTTTTCCAGAAAACAAACTCCCTATTCTTCATTGCAGTATCACAATCTCAACCTCCTTCTTTAATTCCCCTCAGTAGCTGGGTTCTCTGACCTTGAACTCCTTCTGACTTGATATCCAGAGTGACCTCTGGATTTTCCAGGCAGAAGTGGATTTCTACTTGCAACTGCACTCAATGCCTATCTCAGATTACCAATTCAATGCTACTGCCCCACTTCTTTGCATGGGCCAATTTCTGTGTCCTTCATCACTGCAGAACCTGTTACCATGTTCCCAGGGTTATTGCTTTTCAGCCCCTTTAAATGAATTAGTCACATCCACATTTCCCAAAGACCCAGTAACTCAAGAACAACTCCAGGCTATTTGCAATATATAAGAAATTCAATTTAAATAATGAAGGCATAGATGGGTTAAAGGTAATAGGCTAGCAAAAGATGTAACATCCAAACACCAATTAAAAGAAAGCTGGAGTGGTTATATGAGAGCAAAGTAAGCTTCCAAAAAATGGACATTTCTAGGGATAAGGAGAGACATCATGTAATAAAGAGGTCAATTCACCAAGAAAAGCTATCAACTCTAAAGTGTATGCTTCTAAAAACAGACCTTGTGCTATGGTTTGAATGTGTCCTGCAAAAAGCATATGTTGGAAGCTGAATCTCAAATACAACAGTACTGGGAGGTGGGACTTAATGAGAGATGATTAGACTACAAGGGTTCCTCCCTCATGAATGCATTGATGCCATTACCATGGAAGTGGGTTTGTTATTAAAGGGTGAGTTCAGTCCCATTCTTTCTCCCTCTGTCTCTCTCTTTCTCTCACATGTGTGCACTTATGTATGCATGCCTTCCACTATGTGATAACATAGCAAGAATGTCCGCACCAGATGTCAGCCTCTAGATCATGGATGTCCCAGCTTCCACAATTGTAAGCCAATAAATTCCTATTCTTTATAAATTACCCAGCCTCAGATACTTTGTTATAGCAGCATAAAATGGACTGAGCCACCTTCAGAATTCATGAAGCAAGAAAATGATATATTTGAAAAAATAGATTGGGAACAGTGGCTCATGTCTGTAATC